TCTGTCTGTCTGTCTGTCTGTCTGTCTGTCTGTCTGTCTGTCTGTCTGTCTGTCTGTCTGTCTGTCTATCCAGCTATCATTACCTGTGTTCTCTTTATGCCCACAGATGAGCTCAACTTCCTCATTATTTTTTCCACAGATCCGGACAAAGGACAGGGTCTTTGACAGCATCAGCCACCTCATCCACCACCACCTGGAGAGCAGCCTGCCCATCGTCTCTGCTGGGAGTGAGCTCTGCCTCCAGCAGCCAGTGGAGAGGAAACAGTGAGCCTGTCTGCCCTCTCCCGATGCTGAACGCCAGGTCAGGAGGACCTGGGGTCTGTTGGTCTTGGGCTGTGGGAACTGAGGCAGTGGCCTGTGGTCTCAGCATTTTCTTCAAAATCCCCCAAAGGAAGGTTTCCTTCATAAACTTGTAACAGATTTCTCATATGCATATTAAAAGTGTACATATCTATACATCCTGTACAAATTATCCCTCTATATTTATATTTTTTAAGATTAAGAAAGATGTAAGACTCATGTTCTGTGGTGTATGTTTTTAATGAAGAAAAAAAAAAAGAAGTGTCACCGTAGTTGCACAGGCAAAAATTTAACTCACCTGATCTAGTCCACTGGGAAGTTTTACTAGGAAGTTTTAACCTGAAGCATTACCCAAATAAGCACAAATTCAGGGGAGGAAGGCAAGCGGGAAGCTATAAATGGTATCTAATCCTATGTTCAAAATATTGTGTGACCACTAGCTTGGGATGGCTGGTGGTTGTGGGGGAATGAGCCTCCTCTGTCAGCTTGCTGGGCCGATGTCTGTGCCCCAGCCCTGCACACCACCATGTGCATGGAGTTTCCTAGCAGGACCACTCACTGCAGCATCAGTAAGGAGGAGGTGGCACTCAAGGGCCTCTAGGTCACACCGAGAACATGGCTAGCCACCACTTGACCCAGGGAGTGTTCAGGGTTCTTGAGGATTTGTTTAAAACTAAATCTGCCACAAAATAAAGGTCCCCAGTCAAGACCTTGATTGACAAGTGCTTCCTTGTACTCACCCAGATAGATGAAATGACTATCTCTGGATGACCCTTGAAACAGATTCTTGCTCTGGATACCCTTCTAGTTTACAGGTTGCTTGGAGAAGCTGTCATTGAAATTGCCACAACTCACTCTTGCAGTCAATAGAGGGAGGAAAAAGCATGGGAAAGAACCATGCAAAGACAAGTGCAGACACATGAACACACACACACACACACACACACACACACACACACACACACACACGCACACACTGGCCATTCATAATTCTTGGGTATATGTGTACTTGGGACAATGCTCTAGAGCCTCTGGAATCAGTGAAAGGTCCCTGAGGGTGGTGAACCACCTTGCTGCCTCTATGAGCTTCCTGGTCACTCCAAGCGGTGGGTGTATGGCCCACAGCCCTCACGCTAGACATTGTACCTTCCAAATCAAAAGTCATCATTCTATGATGGCTGGCCTCATGTCCGTAAGTTGACAATTATTATGACCTTTAAAAAACTATTTGGACTGGGATTGCCCTCATAGATGTTACCTAGATACAACAGCTTTTGAAACAGAAATCTCTGACTCATCTGTGGGTTGGCACCTCTTCACGTGGCTGTGACACCCCTGGCTAGCTGAACCAAAAAAAAAAATTCTTCACATGCTTAAGGTTGGCTAGTGATACATTGGATTTTTTAAAAGGGGTTAAGAGGACACAACCATAATGGTGGGTTGTGATTCTGCAAAGTTCTGATAACTAAGTGTATCTACCCTGTTCTGCTTTGAGGTAGGTGGAGCTAACTTGTCAGGATGGGTTGGGGCAAATCCTAGGCTTTGTCCATGAAGGCTTCTTTAGAGCTTTTGGCTTTTGAGGGTCCATGGATTTAGTATATCTCCCTAAATGTTCTGTAGCAGGTTGGAACTCAGAAGAGTGTGGCACTGGTGTAGACTGCCTGCTGCTTCCTGAGTGATGCTTTTCAGGAACATGGATGTTGTCTGGAGTCAGGGGCTCAGTTAGGATGCAAGTGACAACCAGCTCAGGCTCTTGCTCACGACCATGGAAACTGTGGGGTAGATCCAAGCATCACCAAGCACTCTGATCTCTGGGAAGCGGTGACACACACCACACCCGCACACCCACACCTATGCCCACACACATCTGACCCGCTTGTATGTAAATGTAGATCTAAGAATGTATCAAATTACCTCTTTTCAACATTGTTTCATTCCTCACTTGTGTAAGACCAAAATGCTGCAAGTTTAGGGGTACTAGCAAAGTAGTAAGGGTACCAGCAGAGGTTGAGACCTGTAAACACTCTAAAATTTGCTCTACTTTATTTTCCTATGGAGAGTGAAAAATATGTAATCCACAGTAATTAGCTCTCTTCTTTGCAGTTGTGCTGATTTTGAGGGTGATAGGCTATATGCATAATATTTTTGCATGATAATTTAGAAAATTTAAAGTGCTGGATCAATTTTTATCTATAATATTAACTCAAAATACATAATTTTGATCTCTGATTATAAGGTTGGAACCACTGCCAAGTGGGAAAAAAACCCTAGCATTTCTTTTTAATCAGAGCAGATTTTAGAAGTAGCAGGTGACAGGTCTCTCATCTTCCCCCCCCCCACCCCTCTCCCTTCTGTTGGTAAAGTATGTTAGGGCCTGTGAGCTAATTATCTCACCTCTTTCTTCAAGGGCCACATGATGGGGTGTTCCTGGGAGCCTAACTCACACATGGGGAAACCAAGGCTTGCTCCAGGCCATGTGATTAGCTGGCAGCAGAGACAGCCTGCCTCACTCAACCCTCCCTGAGGGCTGCCTGGAGCATAGGATCTGCTTGCAGCAGAGCCTCCTTCCTACTCAGCCTGGGCCACTTTCCCCCATGATTCTTAGACTCCATTTCTGCTCAGGTCTGGCAGGGCTATTGGACAGCAAATGTAGGCAGAATCATGCTCTGCCATGCATTCAAGGGCTCTGACTCCTGGGGCCCAGTGGCTGCATGCCAGGCAGGGCTACCCTGGGCCTATGGAATGTGCCCAGGCCATACTGGCCCTCTTCTGGGAGTGCAAAGATAGAGTCCAACAGTCTTTAAATCACTCCCTCTCTGTCCTTGAGCAGTAGCCCTGCAGCACCCCTACTCTTCTGGGTAAATTAGCACATTTTAAATGGCATCTGTATCTGGGCGAGACAGACTGGGACACCCCGAGGGGTTGTTCATTTTGGTCCAGTCAATTATGATTCTTGACCACCCAAGCTGGCCCTCAATGTCTCCCGGTGTAGCATGGAAATCTGAGAAATGATATGGCCAAAGCACTCAGTTTTCCACCCTCTGTTTAAGCTACCATAGGTGAGACTTCTAATATTTGAGGAACTACAAGACTAAGTGCCTGCTCAGTCTTGATGAGCAAATTTCTGATTAGGCCATTGCCAGTGTTGAGGCAGATGGACCAATGCCCATACAAACCACATATGGTATCTTTGAAGGTGTCCCAGTGGCAGACTGATAAGCTATAAATGGAGACAAAGACCTAGGGAGGAATAGACCCTAAAGAGCCCAAGGATGCAAGGTCATGGATCGTGCATGTCTAGGCTCCATGCTTATCCTTGAGGTCTGCAGGTGCCCCAGCTCCTGAAGTGAAGCTTTCTCCTAGTAGCCCCAGACATCATGTGGCTCCCTTATCTAAGTGAAGCTTTAGAGTGGACATCCTTCCCTCTGCTTCAGTTGCCACTTGGTGCCAGTGTCATCTTCCCTTCCTGTTGGGTTGAGTTGAGCAGAAGCCTGGACTACAGACCTGTGTAGGGCAGTACAGCCACAGTGGACTCCTGTGTTCAGCCTTAGCTCCAACCAGCTTCAAGCTGGATTTCTCTAAGTTGTGGCTTGCTCCACTGGGCAGGACACACACTGTTCCTACCACGACAGTGTTAGGGGTTGATAAATATATGCTATTCCTGAACAGTGACTCCCTGAGATCCTTCATTCATAAAAGCACACATGGACTCCCTTGCCCAGGGAGCCCGAGGATGTGTGCTATCTGTAATCTCCTTCCTGTGCACAGTGGTAGCCAGATTGGAAGTGAGTAGAAGGATTATGGAAAGACTGAAAAATACAGCGTTGCATCCATATGAATCTTTGCAGTAGCTTTTGGTATAACTCTGCCTCTCCTGGAATCTTTGAATGTGTTAAGAAAGACAAAGTAGATACACCCCTGTGCCTGGAACCGATTGAAAAGCTCAGGCTTCACATGAGATCAACAGGATAGTTGGCTTTACTAGGTGAGCTGGAGGAAACTGGAGCTGTGTGACCTCTCAGAGATGGCGCCAGTCAGTGCTGACTTTAAGAAACAATGCAGCACTTACTAAGCTCCTTTGTGGAACTTAGTATGGAACACTCCATCCTCCAGCTTTACTTTGAGTCTCCCTCTCAATAAAGAAGCAGGGCTTCTACTTCCTCTGTCTTAGCTGGAGTCTTTCAGAAGCTGACCCCAAGGAGGATTTGAGTATATGTAGTTTGTTTGGGTGGTAATCTCAGCAATAGATACCTGATAAGCATTACACTTTCAAGTGAGTCTGCATGATGCGGCCAACAGGGGCTTTAACCCATGAGGAACTCCCAGACGACAGGGTTTAAATACACCTCAGCGGTAGCTCAGGGAGTCAGATTTTGTTCATCCAGCTTGTTATTGGTGAAGGTTGTTTGCAGGGACAATTTCTCCCATGCAAGCATTCACCCAACCCTGCTTTGCTTCTGAGATCAGAGCTTGGTATAGAACAGGGACAATTTCTGGCCAGTTGGCGCATGCCTGGGCACTCTTTACAACCTAGGGGATGTCCTTGGACATAGGCATGTGTCCAAGGTGTCTAATGAGCAGGCTTGGAGTGGAAGGTCTACATCAGAACCCTGTTTGTAGGTTCACAGGCAAATCATGGGGCTCTGCTTCCTGAGGGCCTGACTCAGAGGATCTGGGTCAGAAGGGGTCCTGACTCAGGGGATCTGAGAATTTGCAATCACAAATACATTTTGAAGGGATACAGATGAGACCAGTCAGGAGTCTTGACTTTAAGAACCATCAACTGATGACAGTTTTCAATTTCCTAGGCTCCTACTCAGAGCTGACCCTTCTTTTTTATGATTAAGTTTTCATAGATACCAGGATCCATGCTGTGGATAGAAAAATGGAGAATTAAGCTGGGTACTGGTGGCTCATGCTTGTAATCCTAGCTACTCAAGAGGCTGAGATCTGAAAAAGCCAGATGGGGCAAGCAAACTCGAGAGGTTCTTATCTCCAATTAGCCAGCAAAAAGCTAGAAGTGGAGGTATGGCTCAAGCAGTAGAGCACCAGCCTTGAGGAAAAAAAGCTAAGGAATGGTGCCCAAGCCTGAGTTCAAGCCCCAGTACCAACACACATAAATATACACACAAAATAAAATAAAATAAAATAAAAAAATGAATTAATAAGCACTTCCAACTCCATGCAACTGTTGCTGGCAGATAAAATGCCATCTGCCAGACGCGATATATTTATAATAAGGTTTA